GATAGGTGAGCTCATAGGCTCAACCTCAGACAATTTGCTAAAACTAGCTCCTACCATTTAAAATATTTCTGCCCTGAAACAGTAGTGCGTTTCGGTTTGATGGGTACAAACTGAGACCCTAGAAACTTAGAACTGATATCTCAGTGGGTTGCGAAATTTACGCTGTATATGGTCTTCGGTAACCATTTAACATCCGGTGGGCCGTGAGCTCGTCCACAAACCTAAGCTATAAAACATAAAAAGCAAGAGCAGTGCTTCGCAGAATCTACCACCCGATCAGAATCGCGACCCATTGAGAAGATCCGTTCAGAAACTCAGTGGACTGTCTTTGAGTTAGTTCACTCGTCAAAACTTGGTCGTAACCGACAAGTTACACCAGGACGGTGATCGGTGCTTGAGGGACCAAAAAGCATCGAGAGGATCCGGGGGATCCGAAAAGACATGTTTCGGGCGACGAGGCTTTGCGTTAATCGTCTGGGTCGGATAGGTAATCGCGGCGGCCACAATAAGAGTGTAATTTATGTTGGTTCGTAGGTTCGTGGAATGCACTAACAGAGGTTTTTGTGAGAAAAATATTTATTACCTATAGTGGCGTCGGATGACAAAACTTTAGTGGTTAGGAAGCGCGCGGCGTTAGTTGCTTTGGTCACTGACTTCGTTCGCCTCAGGTCACCGGTCCGAGGCCCCCTCACCTCTCGTTGAACCCCGCGCACTCCCTCTTACAAATCTTGTTAATTTAAAACTAAGCTAAAAATTTGCTAACTTCTTTTAACAAAACGAATTCACCACACAAACAAACATACACCAAATATACCAATCACAGCTCCAAATTTATATTTAACGTATCGCTAACAAAGAGGATTATCACGTCGCGGCCCTTTGTCGCCAAAAATGACAATATAGTAATGACTACTTACTATCGGGTGAGCCGTACGTTCGTCGGCCTGTAACTAATAATTCAAAAACTGAATTCAAAAAATAAAACCACTTTCTCTGAAAATTATACTTTATTTTCATTGTATTGTTCCAAGCTTCATAAACATGCTTTTTATTCCTTCTTTTTCCTGGGGCGCATGCAGCAAACAGCACTAGTGTCTAGCATATTGTAATTGGCATCTCCTTTGGCGCGAGACTCAATGAACTTCGCATGGGTCTCTGCTGCTAAGAAGTACGACTTCACAGCAGGCACATTTTTCATGGCTTCAATGTAAGTAACCTGACAAAACAGTGATAAAGATCTGTTCATATCAATGATACATAAATTCTACAGGTTGTCGTCGTCGTGGCCTAAAGCATAAGACGTCCGGTGCATTCGTATCTAGCAATGCATCAGTATTCGAATCCTGCAGGCGGGTACCAATTTTTCTAATGAAATACGTACTCAACAGACGTTCGCGATTGATTTCCACGGTGAAGGAATAACATTGTGTAATAAAAATCAAAGCCGCAAAATTATAATATGCATAATTACTGGTGGTAGGACCTCTTGGGAGTCCGCACAGGTAGGTACCACCGCCCTGCCTATTTCTGTCGTGAAGCATTAATGCGTTTCGGTACGAAGGGTGGGGTAGCCATTGTAACTATACTGAGACCTTAGAACTTATATCTCAAGGTGGGTGGCGCATTTACGTTGTAGATGTCTATGGGCTCCAGTAACCACTTAACACCAGGTGGGCTGTGAGCTCGTCCACCCATCCAAGCAATTAAAATAAACAGGTTTTGTGGTATTTATCTAAGATAATTAACAGATTTGCGGAGGTCTTCTATTATGTGTTCTATGTGGCGCACTAAAGTAATTAAATCGATTTCTGTTCCTAAGCACCTGAATTGCCTAACTTAGCCTTTCACTTTGTTTGTCTTTTAGGTCTCTTAAAAATAGATTTATTCTCTAATATCTACTTGATTTTCCGGCGTCTTTGTAAAAAGATAGAAAAGAAAAATCAACATAATTACTTCAGTGTGTCACATAGGTCACCGGTGACCTACACAGCAGTCAATTTGTTTTTTTTTTTTTTATTGCTTAGGTGGACGGACGAGCTCACAGCCCACCTGGTGTTAAGAGGTTACTGGAGCCCATAGACATCTACAACGTAAATGCGCCACCCACCTCGAGATATAGTTCTAAGGTCTCAGTATAGTCACAACGGCTGCCCCACCCTTCGAACCGAAACGCATTACTGCTTCGCGGCGGAAATAGGCGGGGTGGTGGTACCTACCCGTGCGGACTCCCAAGAGGTCCTACCACCAGTGAAAATGTTTTAAAGCATGTATAAAATAATATCCTGAGTTCATAGGAACAATCAATCAATTATAGAGCAATTAGATTAAAATAATATACAAAACTAACATACCAGTCTCTCATATTTAGTTTTGTCAATGGCAAACTCAGCTTTTCCAATCAGGGGCAGAGCCTCAAAGCGCTCTAAAAATGGCCAAAGGGTGTAATCGACCCACCCAGGCTCGTCCCCATGTAAATATTTAGTACTGCGCGTTTCAAGCTCTTTTTGTAGTCCCTCAAGTCCTTTGTGGTAAGTCTCTACCATGCTTGGCTCGAGAGCTTGTGCATTGAATGCTGCTGTATAGTAAGCTGATTGTGCCTAAAATGAAATATACTTTTAATGGTTCTTTTTAAATTCATAATATGACAGTTAATCAGTTTTGTATCATAATTATTTTTGTTTTTTTTTTGTAAATACTACTACACTTTTTAATCTATTGAAACCCAAAAATGTAATTATTTTTTTTCGTCATTGCTGTCTTTGTGTTATCAGGAATTTGTCTTATCTTGGGTCATATGGGATTTGTTATTCTTTGACATTCTTATTAATAAAGTCATTCACAGATTCCCTATGGCAGATTACACTTTATATCATATGGACTGAAACTGGTGCACCATGGGGATGAAAGGCAATTTATATTTTCCTCCAAGGTTGAGACTGTTTCCATACTAATTAAGTCAAAATCAGTTTGTTAATTTAGGTGTGACAACATAACAAGTAGACACAGTAACTTTTGTATATAATATTATAAAATAACATTTGCTATTTAACTTCTAAATTCAACACCACAAAAGTAAACTCTACAAGTCTTTAAGTATCAATATGTTATTTTTACAATATCCAATATCCATATATTTACAAATTCAAACAATCCAAGACTCTCAATTATGATATAAATTGTATCCTGTCAACCTGTTACAACTAAATGAGATTGCGTTTAATAATTCTATAAAAGTGTTCAAACAAACAAACAGAGGAAAATTTCTGTTTTGGATTTCAATACTTTTCCTTAGTTCCCTTTTTATTTTAACTTTTCCTCAAGGTGCATAACATTCTACTGTTTTATATGATGTGTTACTATATTTTCACGTTATTTTACCAAATCTGCTATAGTATATAATCTAAACGAACCATTGAAATTTTATGAAATTTATATTAAGCACACTGAATACATTCTTAATCGTTAACTTCATTAATAAAAAAATGTATAAAAAAAATACATACTGGAGCAAAGCTCTCAACGAGAATTTTGTCTTGAGCTCTGCGCAGAGGGTCTGATGCTTGCAGAGGAATCTCTGGATACTTTTCATCAAGATAAACATTTATAATGTTGCTGTCAAAGAGTGCCTTACCAGGTTCATATTCCAAAGCTGGCACAGTACCTAAGAGTTAAGTAACTTTGTAGAACAATTAAGCACTTAGTAAATAGTCATGATTAAATAAATTAGGATTCAATCATTGATGATTGCATCAAAGCTACAGAATACATACCCTTCGGGCTAAAGTTGAAGATCCATTCAGGTTTCTGATCTAAATTGATAAAAACTAAATCGTAAGGTATGTTTTTAGCATTTAAGGTCAGCACTGTCCTTTCGGCGTAAGGACAAAATCTCATAGCAAAAACGCGAAGTTTTCCACTATATGGGGGCAAAACATCTCCTGAAAAGAAGACAATAAATTTATTGACAAATATTACTAATAAATCGATTAGTTAAATTTTTCATTATTTACCGGTTTGTAAATGCTTCTCGGACATGTTAAAAGATGTAACTTTTTTTTAAGTACAAAATAAATTAGTGTCTACGTGAAGTGTAGCCTTCTGATGTCTTTTGATCTAAATTATTGAAGTCAATGGTCTTCAATAACTAAGTTTCAATTCGTTGAAGACTCCTTGCTTTGCTTCTAGAATTTTTTATTGAGAAAAACAAGAATTGTAGATGCCACCAGTACGAGTTCAAGAAATGAATTGAATGAACTCTCGAATATATTAAGTGTATAATCTATGGAATGAACTGAATTCTGAGAATCATGAATGGGATAACCACAGATAACTTAAAATAGGTACACTACACTAGGAGAACTGAGAAATCACTCCTGACACACTTAATTGATCAAACAGCTGATTCAAGTACCTATTTAACACTTAATAATTCTGTAATGAAGTAAACACATTGTTTTGTTTAAATAGTGTAATATTAACAAATTTTAATAAATAACGAAGTTCGGTGATTGTAACTATAGCTATAATAGCTATGGCCAAGTGAAGCTTAAAATAATTTAGTTTGAAACCAGAGGATCATAAATTATATTTACGACTTTTGAGTGTGTAGTGTAGAACAAGGATTCCCCAAGGTGATTGTCCAGAGATCAACTTAATCGAAAATTGATTTTGTGTGTCGACGAGGTCTAAAAATCTGAGGTATCAAATTATTTTGGAAAAGGAGTCTTTTACCCAAAATGATTTGGGAATCCCTGATGTCGATTCTACAGACTTTTGGAATTGCTTGTGTAGGCTTTAATATTACTGTGCAATGCAGAAAATGACGAACATGTAAATTTGACCATATCATCGTAACGTAGTGTTTATATACATTCTATTTAACTCTCTCGCTTGTTTTCAAGAACCGCTGGCTCCAAGTACGTCAATAAAGATTCATTCAGTCAATCAAAATGGAACGTGTAGACCGAACGTAGAACATTAAAAATATGTGAAGAAGTGAACCTCACCACTCCAAGATGAATGAACAATAAGAGCAAATTGAAATTACATGTCATAGATAATAAATACATGGATTTTATTTATGAATGCGTAGATATGTAATGAAATTGTAATAAAAACATGATAACTTCCACTGTAAGTCTGGCCATGCACCTAATATATTCGTCGTTTCAAGGTGTTCGAGTTATCAGTCAAGTATTAGAATACGTCTTACCTTATACTGGTGTACCATTTCGAAATATGTCTGCAATTAAGGACAGCAGAAATATCAACTTTAACACAAAGCATTTAAGGAAAGGTATGTATGTATCTATGTAACAATTCATTATTATTATATCTGGCTGAATCACTGTTTTACATATCTACGGAGTGAAATTATTTTAAAGATGATTTTTATAAGTGAGTAATAGCCGAACGATAATTTCCTTGACTGCTGTAATCGAGAGTCCTACCACCAGTGAAATTAAACGTAATATTGCTAACAAATGAAAAAAAGTTCATATTTCTCTAGAAGAGGACACACCGTACCTTTAGAATTGAAGTGGTATAGCCAATAATTTTAAGAAATGAGTTTTATATAATACTTTGAACTACCTACTTAAAACATGTGTTCTATCTAAACATATAAATAAAATTGGAGTGTCTGTACCGCTTTTTACTACATGCATATGAATATATATACGGTACGTACACCAAAATAACATTTTTTACAATTTTTGTCTGTCTGTCTGTTTGTTCCGGCTAAGCTCTGGAGCGGCTGGACCGATTTTGACGGGACTTTCACTGATAGGTAAACTGATGATATAAGGAGTAACTTAGGCTACTTTTTTTAGACTAGCTTCGCCTATCTATACATATAAATAAAATTAGGGTGTCTCTTTGTAATATTGAAATAGCCTCTTTTTACTACATGCATATGAATATATATTCGGTACATACACCAAAAAAACATTTTTTACAATTTTTGTCTGTCTGTCTGTTTGTTCCGGATAATCTCTGGAACGGCTGGACCGATTTTGACGGGACTTTCACTGATAGGTAGCTGATGATATAAGGAGTAACTTAGGCTACTTTTTTTAGACTAGCTTCGGCCCGCGGGGTCACCCGCAGTTATTGTCGTACCGCGCGCAACATGGCGGGCTTCGCCTATCAATAATAAACTTTAATGTTTCCGAAGCGAAGTGAGGGCGGGTCGCTGGTCAATAATAAAATTTATTATTTTTGCGAAGCGAAGCGAGGGCGGGTCGCTAGTCAATAATAAAATATAATGTTTCCGAAGCGAAGCGAGGGCGGGTTGCTAGTCAGTATATTAAATTAAAAATTCAATTTAAATTTAGTTAAAAAAGAACAAAGTACACCAAGCCAGTCGCGCGGTGATAGTAGACCAGTAGTTGCAGCTCAAGAATTCGGGACCTCTGTGAAACAGAATTTGTATCTCGCAAAGGCGACGACTTGCTATAATGTCGTTTTCAATACTTTTTAATGATAATCACATTTTAAATATCATTAAAAATATTCATTTAGATATTAAAAAAAATTAGTACTATGTACGCATGCCATCTTATGTCGATGCGCTTTCTAAATAGTTAATTGTTTTATTTGCAGGTGATCCTTTACCGCCTTTCAATGGAAAATTGCGAGTATACAACATGAGGTATTGCCCCTACGCTCAGCGAACCATCCTAGCTCTTAACGCGAAACAAATTGACTATGAGGTTGTAAATATTGATCTGATCGACAAACCTGAGTGGCTGACAACTAAAAGTGCCTTCGGTATGTGTTAGTGTATTAATATTACAGTAGCGAAAAGTAATATCTAGAGTTGATATTTGAATATTTTTACTCATGCTTTAATTAAAATTTTCGGAGGAGAACCTGTAGCAATGCGCCCGCTATAATTCTCTACTAGGGGCTGTGAGCTCGTTCTCTTTTCATTGGCGTAGAGTTCTCTACCCCGTATATAAACACCTCATACCAAAAACAACCCTGCATAAAATGTCATTGTCTCAATAATGTTGCACTGTACGTAGTTTTCTACCGGACGTCTCTACATCTTATCATCTGACTTAAGCAACATATGGATTTATCTATAAAACGCGAGTCAAAAGTTTCGTGTTTCGGATTGCGAATCGATTATTTTCTAAATTTTTTTTTGTGCCTACGGTAGCCCGTTGAACTTCGACCTTCGTTCTTAACTCAGATGAAGTTGAGGTACAATTTCAAAAAGTAACCGATATCCGGTATATCCGATACGCCACGCCGGTAACGATAAACCGTAGTCGTCTCTGTCCTTGTCGTGCGAATATCTGATACTCTGCGGTCTGTTGGTATCTATTCACAACTCAAGGTATCAGAGATATTGATTGATATTCGTTGTTTGTACCGCATTCTTATACGTCATGTGCCCAGTTTCAATTAAAGTAAAAATCCTAGCAATTTCATTGGCGTTTAGATCTGGAATTCTCAGTTTGTTTGTCGTAACAATTCAGACGTAAAAAGATAAGAAAGCCAAGTTTAATTTCAAACTCTAAAGCAAAACTTAAAAAAATTCGCTGTTTGAAAGAACAAAATAATGAATACAAATGGATCGATGCTGTAATACTAATGGTAATGTGGTCAGTACATTAATCTAATAATAAAGACCTACCAACGTATTAAATTCTTGTTGTTAAGTAAAACATTTGCTTTTCAAATTTCAGCAAAAGTTCCAGCGATAGAAATAGCAGAAGATGTGACCATTTACGAAAGCTTAGTGACAGTTGAATATTTAGATGAGGTCTATCCGAAAAGGCCTTTACTGCCGCAAGATCCTTTGAAGAAAGCATTGGACAAAATTATTGTAGAAGCATCGTCGCCTGTAAGAAATGCATGTTTGTAAAAAAAATACAAATTAGCGGAAGGGCATGTTACAATGGTTTAGATTCTAACACAGCCATTGTATTCATTCAATTCAATATAATGTCTTAATGCGGGCCTTGGTCTTCGTGTGTCCGTCTTGGATGATCATAGAAAAATACTAAATTACAGAAAGTATTACATAAACTCTTTCCCATAACACTCTCATGCGGGCTCGGAACATGCCCTTCCGCCAGTAACCATATAAAATTATTTAACTTTGTTAAATTATTTGGTCGTATAACATCATCGACCTTTTTATTTCTGTGAATAGTTAAGATGAAGTGGCAGTGGGTTGGCCATATATGCCATAAAGCTGACGATCGCTGGAGTAAACGGGTTCTCCAGTGCAGACCGGGCAACGGAAAACGTAACGTGGGACGCGCCCTGGTTAGGTGGTGCGATGACCTCCGAACGGTGGCCGGCAAGAGGTGGATGTGGAGAGTCGAGGACTGGGCTCAGTGGTATGGATTTGGAGAGGCTTATGTCCAGCTGTGGACAATTGTGGGCTGATGATGATGATGATGAAATAATTAAGCAACTCACGGCCTACTTGGTGGTCAGTAGTTACTGAAGCCCATAAACATTACATAATTTAAGACGAGGTTAAAGTTTCTATAATAATTGTATTGTATAACGTTTGTCCCACTTTTTTTTTCCTACCTAAGCTGATAGCCTTAAGAGGCTATATCAGCCGTGCTTCGCAGAATCTACCATCGGATCGGAAACGCGACCCACTTAGAAGATCGGGCGAGAAACTCAGTGGGCTGTGTCTGAGGGTTAATTTACTCGTCGAGCCCTTCGTCGCAAGCGACGGGTTCAACGAGGACGATGACCGGTTGTCTCACTCTTGGTACCGGAACGCACGATTGCTACGCGACAAAAATAGGCGTGGTGTCGATACTCATGCGCACGTCATTACAGCTGCTGGAAGTACAAAAGCGCTCTTCGTTTTCAATTCAAAAGAACGACTATAGGGTCGTGCTGCCTTCATACAAAATTAATTTGGAAATGTCAAATAAAAATTTAATAAATTAACTAACTAACCTCGATTTTACATCAGATGTAGTCAATTATTAGGGTTTCTTTGACACTCTAGGGTTCTGGTTTACTTAGAAGACAGTCAGTACACCGAAAGCTATACCGTCATATTAATGAAATGGTTACGTAATGCACTATAATTATTTTTACAGTTTAATTTCGTGTATCTTTTTATTCTTTCCGAATCGTTCGAATACATTACGCTTTTCGTTGTATAATGAACTTAGTTTTAATTATGTCTATGGTTTTTTTTTTGTCATTTTAGGCACACGTGCATACGGTCCACTCGATGGTGAGTGGTCACCGTCGCACATGGATGTCAGCAATGGCAGCGGCAGAGCAAAACCGCTGCCTACCGTAAAGAGAACAAATGCTAAAACCGAAGAAAATACTAAATCTAATTAATAGTTTTATTAAATTAAACGTTCATTTCAGATTCAGTCGCTTTTTATAAAGATTCTAAAATTCTCCGACACTGTCAATGAGGAGCATGTTGCTGCGTACCACAAGGCTTTAGATTTCATCCAGGAACAGTTGAAAAACCGAGGCACTGTGTTCTTGGACGGAAGTGAACCTGGATACGCTGATTATATGATTTGGCCTTGGTTCGAGAGGCTTAGAGCATTTGCCCATGATGAAAGAGTGAGACTTGAACCGTCTAAGTATTCTTTACTGGTAAGGACAACCTTCATCATTGTTTATACCAAAACTATATATGTATTTATTGTGCTGTAGTATCTGGGGAAGTGGCTCAGCACACCAGCGTCTGGCTGCGAAAATACTACTGGCTAAGTTTTCTCCATTCTTCTGTACAGAGCTGAAGCATGTAAACTAATAAATGCGTCTTAAAAATAAATAAAATAATAATTCCTTTTAAATCATAGGTATACCGAAAAATTCTCAAGCATATCTTTTTAATGTATATATGATTATTAAATTAATTTTCAGTTGGAGTACATAGACAACATGTTGAAGGACTCTGCCGTGAGCCAGTACTTAATTCCGCTGGAGATTTTGGCCAAATTTCATGAAGCCTACACCAAAAAAGAGAAACCGAACTATGAATTGTTAAATGAATGTTTGAAATCATTTTAAAATATGTGTTAATAAATTCATAAGAATTCATAACAGTAAAATCTATGCGTTTTTATAAACAGTAACACCATGTTTTTTTATTGTGTTCAAAGAGATATTTTTGGTCCACTTATAGTGAATGGTCATCATTGCTCATGAACATTGATATTGTCAATTGCACAACCAAGCGTTTTCAATGAGCTCTAATTAAGCTCATATATGTGTTCACATGTGAGCCCTGGAAAAAACTTGCAGCTCATTCCCGACCCAGGTGACATGGGTAAGCTGATCTGAATGAAGGCAGTGGTTTCAGATCGACTTCACTGACAGATAGCAAGAAAGAAAACTGGACCATTATGAGAAATTCCTTATTTTATATAGGACAAACAAAATCAACATCAATCTGTAGACACAGAACATCAAGTACAATAGTAAATCTTATATAAGTTAATTTACTTAACATAAATAAGATTTACTACTACTTACATAACATTTACTAAGGTTAAGGTCCTCGAAATGGACAAATTCGAAAAGCTTAAAGGATCACTTTGTTGTCAGTCTGTTTATCTGCAAGATGCTTAAGATCGTTTTCTTAGGAACGAGTATAGGTATTAGGTCAAAATTAGTAACAATAAGGTCTACAGAAAGAAGTCATAATAATGTAGTGCCTTTGTACATAATTTTCCTATTACTCTGTACTGTGTCTTGTTTTCTGTGTGTACATAAATAAATAAATAAATAATTTTTCAGTCAAAGCAATCAAAAGATATAGGCATATCTGTCTGTGTAACTCATAAATACCCAAATGGGGCATTTTCCATAGACCTAGATGATATGAAAAAGGCAGTATTGTAGGACAGGTAAAGGGAATTGTCCTTAACCGACATTTTGGCAGGTAAAGTATAGACCGAACGTAGGAAATGTACTTATGGAAACTTTGCCTTAGGCAACCAGCGAATAATTAGTTAAGGAAAAAACATTTTACAAAGAGGTGAAAATTTTGGGAAACTAGTATTTGTGTATCGGGTAGAAATAGATTATGCATATTTCCACTCTTTTTATTCAAGAATATATTTTACACTGTGTGTAACTTAAGAAACATAAAGCCAATCACATAAATACTAAATTAATACAAACTAAATGTCGTTTTTTTTTAGTTCATGTCAAAATTTTCTTTTTTTATATCATAATTTTAAGAGTATCACGTAAATATCTAATCAGACTGAATGTTAAACATACATAAATTAATGATGTCCGCTTAAATCTACAAAAATTATGTCAACATGTTTTGGCAATTACAGTCAATATGTATACACTAATTCATAATATTATATAATAAACGTAATTACTGATCACAACATTCTTATAACAATAAAGTAGCAGTTACTAATATTAAAAGAGCTTCTAATATATAAGACATGAAGTGATTTAATTTTAAAATTAAGAGATGAAGTGAATTACTCAGCCTTTTGTGATTTACTTTAAGCAATTATTCTTAGTCTACTTTGTATTTATCAGCCAAAGCTTCTAATTTACAGATAATTGTGTTTAAGTCTGAATTTCGATCCAATTTCAAATATGAAGTATTTCTTATTTCATGCAATTTACACCATTCAGGAACTTCGTCTGTCAGAATTTTTATGTCTCTATGTAAATCATTGGCTGATACCTTAGATTTAAAACTGCTGTCTAATTTAGATAGAATAATGTTCAATGCAAGGACATTCTTTCTTTCAGTGACAAAAATGTTTCTTAGTGTTCTGGCGAGATCTGGAAGTCTACTGTAAATGTGATATTTTTGTTCAGTTTCTGAAGACCTTGTCATGGCCTCGAGTGCTTTGGCTGCCTGCTTAGCTTTAACTTTCTCCAAGAGAGCTGTTGGTAAATTACGCAAGGCAGGATTGAGAAGTGTCATTGTGCTTGTAGTAGGAGTTTGAGTTCCATTAGTAACAGTGTTTTTTTTGTTATCATCTGTAATGCCAGTAACTAATTTCTCCTGCTCAGTTAGGCCCCGTGCTTTAGCGTGTGCTAATTTCTCCATAGCTCTCTCCATTTTAGTATTACATTTGAATAGTTCACGTGCTTTAGCTAGTACATCTTGAGCTGTTGACATTTTTTCTACATTTGGCAGCTCAGGCAATTTAGCACTTTCAATTTCAGGCAATTTCTCCAACTCAAATTCTGGATGCCAACGTGTTAACTTATTATCTGGTATGACCATTGGAGGGTCAAGAGTAAGGAGATATTGAGAATGATGTTTCATCACTACCTGCAAAAGGGTATTAAAGAAAAACCTTCTCCTCTCCAGAAGCACACTTGGATTCATATTTTTTATATCATTGGGAAAATTTGGAGTTACAACAAGTTCATAGGCATCTTTATGAGAAGATGTACTGAAGTTTTTAATCTTTTGTACTTCAAAATTGTAAAAATCTGGCACTAAGTGCTTTATTTGTGCCAAATGTTTCTCTCCAAAGTTTCTTTTGAGCATTTCCTGGACTGATGGTTTGAGTTTTGTGAATGTTATCTTCTCATTTCTGTTATAAAGCAATGCCACAACTGTCTCCATACCTCTGAATAGCTCAGCCAGGAACCTATATTTATGCGGTAATGGCAGGCTAGTAGAAGTTGTTGCCAATGATGCATGTCTGATATACGCTGGTACCTTTGGGAAAATAAATACAGTTTTAATTTGTAGACTTATGTTTATTTTCTGCTAAAAATTACAAAATATTATAATGCGCATTAATACCTGATGTCATATTTGGGTAATGTCATTAAACATGTACTCAAGCACAATGTGCAGACACACATTAGTTTCATAAACTTTTTTTTAGGTGAAACTCAATGTGAGTTAGATTATTTGAAGTTAAAAGTATTTTATTAAAACACTGACATTACATTATCGCTTAGATATTTCACAACTAAAATGATTAATTTTTGCATTGACAGTCAACTAATCAACCATCAAAACATAGAGGGGGGTGAAAGGCTTAAGCAACATTTTTGTATTATAACTTTACAGGAAAGCTATTTAAAGTTTATAATTTGGAAAAAACAGCATAACAAAAAACTTTCTCTAGCGATTAGAATGGAGTAACCGTATTTGAAGTTCAATTAAAAATATTGAACCGTTGACGCTAATACTGCATAAAACTCACCTTTAATTACAAATATAAATGTTGCTTAAACCAAATAACCTTTCAATCTTTGAAATATTAAGAAAGTAAAAGTAGGATCAACCTAAGGACAACAGGTAACTCATTACCAATCCAGAGGCAACAAGCTGGGTGATCTTCATTCTCCAAAATTATTTTTAATAATTAGGGATCTTTGATTTAATAGAAAAAACACCTTGTCTAAAATAATGTTATATTTGCAGATTGCATGAGACAATAATGGAAAATGATTCAAACAAATTCCAATGAATTTCATAATTTGGCTTAATGTAGTCATCACTAATGATAAACTCAAAGATTATAAGCATAACCACAGTCTCAACCTGAGAGTGGGTAATAAGAATATTTTGACCAGATAAAATCACCCAATGATAATATGATGGGATAATGGAAAAACACAACTCAAACAAATAAACGAAAATTAAGAAAAAATCATTTCACTGCACATTATGAAAATAATATTTGTCACCTGGTGATGTAGCAAGTATAAATTCTAGTTGTGAAGTTTGACTACACAGAAAACACCAAGGCCAAGCTCATAAAATCTCAAGGTGACCGAGTCTAATGTATACTGACTAACTGTTATGAAGACGGAACGTTAAGAAAACGGACTAGCAATATACTTTTATAACAAAAAATAAAGTAAACAAGTTACACTCTAATAGAGGTAACCAATGAAGAAAATGGGAGGACAATTTATTTTTGACAGTCAACAGAATCTAAATGAGAATGAAAACACAGAGGTTGGCCTTTCTTTAAGGTGCATCAACATAATGATCTTGCGTAAATTAGTAATACAATAATATAAATTACTTTAAATTACTACACTACAAACGGTATAAGCTCAGCTTACCTTGCTAGGGCTCTTCACTGGACTCACAAAAACTTTTCTTGGAGAAATGAGGGAGTTTTGAGGACTTATAGGAACATCAGCTTTTTGAGGAAGCAATTCATTTCTTACTGGAACTCTCTTACTTGGACTAATGGAAAAAAAGGTGAATTAAATTATTTTTCATAATAGTTGAAAATTTTGTTTCATTATTCCTGAACCATTCTTATAAACTGATACATTAAGATGGATGCAAGAAATATCTACATGAAACTCACCTCGAGGGTACTTCCACATTGATAGACTTGAATTCTTTTAGATTCTTTGTCTCATTGGATTCTTTTAATAGCTTGATACCTCTGCTAATACGTTCAGCAGATGCTTTCAGTTCTGCAAGCTTCGAACTATTAGCTAATTTTTTCCTAATGTCTCCTAGGCTTAGTTCCTGTCGAGCTGATTTTATAGTTTCACGTTGTGACAATTGAGTTGTCTTGGGCACATTTCCCTTCCTCGTAAAAGCTACTTTTTCTTTACATTTTTCGGGCACTTTTGGAGCTGGTGATGTTATATCAGTATTTACATCAGTCTTGATATCATCATTTGTTAACTTAATATCAATTACCGTTTCTGTTTTCTTAGCAGCCGTAGCTTTATTAAGTGCTTTAGATTCCAACGCACGGTCTAAATGTGCAATTTTACTCTTGGTTGTGGCTATATCATCCGCTGCTGGTCTTTTTCTGCTATTATAAAATGATGTAATCGTTGTTTGGGACATTATACTTATTGCTTGGCGTTTACTAAAATTATGATTAATTACAAGTTTCTAATGGAAGTAGTGGAAACTTTGTATTGCAGCTATTTTTACTATGCCTCAATGTTTTCCCTCCAAAAGACTTCAAATTTACATTTTCATGTCATTCCACTGTCGTTCACATAAATTTTAATCAACTGTCAAAAATTGTCCGTTTGATTGTGGTTTGATTCGTTCACTGCTCTGGCAAAGGGAACAAAAGACGAAGCCATGCATGTTGAGTGAAAAGAAAAAAAGAAGGAATTAAATGAAATAGTTTTAAATGATGTATAACACGTTAGATATTGGGTGAACGAAATGAAATTAAATAATATCTCAATAATGGTAAAATTACACGAAATGCTGAACTTTATGATGCATAAAGTTACGTATTAGTATTATATGTATAGTATACTAGCTGAGTACCACGATGCTACCTGCGGTTATTGTCGTACCGCGGGGCGAGTCTAGTCTAAAAAAAGTAGCTTAAGTTACTCCTATGTCATCAGCTACCTATCAGTGAAAGTCCCGTCAAATCGGTTCAGCCGTTCCAGAGATTAACCGGTACAAAGAGACAGACAAAAATTGTAAAAAATGTTGTTTTGGTGTATGTACCGTATATATATTCCTGTGTATGTGGTAAAAAGCTGTTATTTCAATATTACAAACAGACACTCCAATTTTATTTATATGTATATATTAGTAGTAGTAATATAGTATACGATTAGTATTTCATTGATACATATATATTACATGAAACACATTCTTCTAAAATCTTCTATCATAACTTTTGCTGATCAAAACTGACATGAAATCTGATGTCCTTAATAAGAAGTTCTACATCGATATGTTTATTGTTTGCTTTGTGGAGGTATAATGATTACAAACAATGACAAATAGTGGAAGCCTAACCTAAACTAATTATTTATTAAATTAAATATCATAATTTAATGAAGAAAATAAATTTTTAATTGTTTATATGAGTTACTTTTAGGATTTACTTACTATACAATAGATCAGCGATTCAAAAATGATTATGCCATCTGCCATCTGCTAGTGAGTACCTACTAATGTTGCATTCGGCTTCAACTGTAAGGTTTTTAAACTTCATCGAGCCACCCGTATCTTGACCACCGACGTTGAACACTGTTTCGTTAGACTTTACTAGTTACTTTACTACCCTGTGCAACTTTCATTTAAACCAAATAAATTAATTTAACAACCCTTGAAAATGCATGAAATGCTTTTATAACTCTCTAAAAGTAGGTAAGTATGCTTTTTGTAACACTAGCATCTTAGTAACGATCTTCCACTAATGTCACTCATATTCACTAAATCTCTAATATCACAATTAAAAAAATGTTGATGACAGTTGTTTCTACTATTAGATTAATTTGTATAATATTCAATAAATCAAAACGTTTACACACCATAAAGATATTTGGTGAAGGGAAACAAAATTAGCTATTTAAATATGCCTGAAAAGCAAAATTTTACAAAGAAAAGTATTTTAGTCACACCTAGCAGAGTTGTGAATAACCCAGATGAGATTGAAGGTGGAGAAGAAACTGAGATTGCTGCACAAATATCGGTTCCTCAAGATGGAGGCTGGGGATGGGTGGTCGTTATTGGAGCTTTTTTCAGCATTCTAATAATGGATGGAGTAGTATTTACATTTGGAAGCTTATTAAACGACATGGCGAACGATTTGAAATTGCAGGAATCCTTAGTGAATCTAATAAATTCAATCGCCGTAGCGTTATATTTTGTAATGGGTCCATTGGCTTCAGCATTGATCAATCGATTCGGTTTCCGGGCGTGTATGATGACTGGGTCTGTGATCTGTACGTTTTGTCTTTTTTGTTCATATTTTATTACGAGTTATTTAGGAATGTGTATATTTTATGGTGCAATGACTGGTTTTGGGTGTTGCTTAATTAATATGTCTTCAAGTTTGGTGGTTGGTTTTTATTTTGAGAAACTTCGATCAATTGCTTTGTCAGTGACTACAACAGGATCAAGCATTGGAATAATGATCATGTTTCCAATAAACTCCTATTTAGTCAAGTTAGGAGGATGGAGATTACCTACCCTAATACACTCCGGTTTATTCGGCTTAATATTTTACTTCGGTATGACATTTAGACCATTACTATCGCTGACTGTTGTTAATACGTCTGATGACCCCACCAGAACGGTGACTTATTTACCTAGCATATCAACGGCTTCTGTCCGACGTTCGCCATCAAGAATTTCTAAAGTTGAAGTTCTTACACCGACTGCTACGGAACGATTGTTTGGAGCTGTTTCTAATGCGAATTTTCCCACTGCTGCAGCTGTAGTTGAAGATAATACAGTACTACCAACTTCACAAGCAGGTCCATCTACGCTTGCTGTGTCTAAAATTACACTCAAAGCAAATAGCCCGCAAGGTGGTATAAGTCGCCGACAGCTACAGCGAGTAAGGTCTGCGATATCAAGNACACCGACTGCTACGGAACGATTGTTTGGAGCTGTTTCTAATGCGAATTTTCCCACTGCTGCAGCTGTAGTTGAAGATAATACAGTACTACCAACTTCACAAGCAGGTCCATCTACGCTTGCTGTGTCTAAAATTACACTCAAAGCAAATAGCCCGCAAGGTGGTATAAGTCGCCGACAGCTACAGCGAGTAAGGTCTGCGATATCAAGTAGTGTGCTAGATAAAACCAAAAGAAATATTGAATTAACTGTTCATGAAGACAAATCTGTACATAAAGGTTGTTGCGGGCGATTGTTTCACTGGGAAAGTCATGACCCACAATTAAGACCATTATATCGAGATGATGCTTTTTACGATGGCAAATTAAAAAATCTTCCAGTGTATCAAAAAAGTATGCTAAATACTACTGAAGAAACAAAAACTGGTCTCGAGTACCAGTTAGCCGTATCACGTGCTGTTACTACAGCAGATTTGCAAGAAAATAAGGGATTATTTACAACTGCCGCAAGAAGAATACTTGCAACAATGATGGACCCTAAGTTGTTGAAACGATGTTCTTTTTTACTTTTATGTACAAGTGGTATGCTAACGTATTTAGGATATTTAGTACCATATGTTTTCATACAAAACCGAAATGAGAATGCAGGTATAGCAGCAAACGACTGTAGATTTTTTGTTAGTGCCATAGCCTTCGCCAATACTGCAGGTAGGTTGGCTTTAGGCTTTATTGCGTATAAAGTGGACCCCTTAAAGTTGTATTTTTTATCATGTACGATTTCTGGCGTAGCAACGATATGTTCAAACTTTTCATTTGATTTACATTATCAATACCTTTATTGTTGTATTTTTGGATTTTCAATTGCTAGTGTGGCTAGTCTTCGGTGTATGATTATTGTAAATATATATGGCTTGGATAAACTGACAAATGGGACCGGAATAATTTTGATGTTTCAAGGAATAGGTTCTTTGGTCAGCACACCAGTAGCCAGTGTTATAAAGAAACATTTTGGATATTCAGCAGCGTTCTATGTCGCAGGTTCATGTTTGACCTTAAGTGGTTTATGCTTATTGCCTTTAAAAAATATAGCAATCGTTGAAAACAGAAAAATTGAAAATTTAAAAAGGAATTTTATTAAAACAAATACATAAATATTCAACCTTTCTTATAGAGTCTAAATTATTTTATAGACGCACAAAGGGCGTATAAGATATAAATGCATAAAAATAAAACGTCCACGGCGTCATTATAAAATTAAAATTATGAAAGTGGATGTTTGAATGATCGTTATCTAATTACGATAAAACTAATTTCGATGAAATTTCGCACAAAGATAGTTTATAACCTGGATAAAATACATGGAATAATTTAATGATGGTCAACGACGACCCAGGCTACACCGATTATTTCTGCTATAACAAATACATAAGTCAGTTTGTTCGCTGTTATTTTATGTACAAACTATTCTAGATATGGACTTGTAGTTTATAGATCAGACCAGAGTGAAAAAAGCAATTCTTTATCCCAGAAAAAGCAGTGTTTCGTTCTATTAATAGCATGAGCATGACAAAAACAACATAACTTTCAGATTTGTACTTTAATTTTAAACATATTCATTTGTTCATTTCATTATATTTTAATATTCATTATTAGTAGTCGTTAAATGATTGTTTTCTACTTTAAGTGGATTTTGAAAACCACGCCCAGTAATATTTGGTACTTCCTCTACAATTTACGCTGATGCTGATGTGGCGCTACCCTAATATACTAAATTTCGACGGATTCGTATTAGAAACACAGTTTATTCTTTTTACTTCTACCCTCCGTAAAAGAAAAGGACAGATGAATGCATAGAAAAGTAGGTTGAATGAATGAAGTGAATGGGAGCGCACTATATATGTACACAAAAATGGTTTTACAATAAATTATACTTTTGCCATGGTTTATGCCAGAGTTTACATTTGTTCTAAATTTTTCAGAACCACCTTTAACGACAATCCCATATAGCAATTCCTTTTTAAGCAATAAAGTTTAAGTAAAAAATAAAAAAAATATCTACGTTGACGTATGTTTTTAACAATCCGTGTAAAATAGAATAGATAATATTATAAAGTAATAGTCGCGCATTGCTACATTTCAAATGCACAAACATAAAATCCACCATTAGTTCTCTTGTGACAAAAAAGGTGAATTTACATTTACTCTATGATAGCCACATTGACGCTTAAATTTGTGATGCGCAAAATCGATATTGTTATATAAGGTAGGTAGGTATGTTGTTTTGACTAGTGGCGCGTTTTTAAAATACTACTGCCAATGACAATTTAAAAAAAATTGAGTTACAGGACCAATTATGTATTGCCATTTTGTTTAACACCCTACAATTTGCTTGAAATTTTAAGCTCTAAACTGTAAACAGTTTTAATGAATTATTATTTTTATTTTACTGTAATCAACATGAGTATGTATTTATTACTAGATATATACTATTTTGAAATATCAATTATAAATCACTGTGTTATTATGTTGCTTTCGTTTATTTTATAAAGCATTGCCAGAGATCTGTGATAATTTACCAGACAAGAGTAAAATTGCTTAATACGACAATTGAAAGACAAATAAAAAAAAATCTGAAATATTTTTAACTTTATATTATTCAGGGAAATAAAGTGATCCAAAGCACACACACTTGCTACTGGGTAATGACAAAAGAAAGTTCATGTTAATTGGAAAAGCTTTCTTTGGTTTTTTGGCCTGCTAAGGAAATAGTTATTATAATCTCTGATTTTGAAATACATGTGCTTTAAAATAAAGGAGGATATTAATAAATATTATATTAGATACGCAAATGAAATGTGCACAGTTTTTAAATGAATGATTTGGAAAAGCTTGAACAGTCCTCGTTATAAAACAGTCACGTTATAATAAATTGAATAGTTTATTGACTGTTGTAGTTCAAATTTTACTAACAATGTCAATATATTCGCTAGTGTTATTGCCGTCTAAAATTTAGAGATTCATTCACATTCTCGATTTGGAGTGCATAATAATATTGTAATGAGAATTTTATGATTCCCATTACTAGCACAGCTAACGATTTTTATTGCAATTTGTTAAGGCGAGATAAAACATATTACAAATGGAACTTGAGCTGATGTATTTTGAAGTATGAAATATTTTCAGTTGTACTGCGATAAAACTAACTCGTCTTCTTTGTGATTCTTAGTTTTGTTTTAAGTTTAATATACTGAATAGTACCATGTGGACCTCTTTTCCTTGGAGTTATTGTTGGGTAAATAGCTAGAAATAAATAAACACGAGAAAAAAAAGTGTGAACGTTAGGATGGATGGTTAATACACGTAATGATTAACTTTATTTATAATTGATATTGCCAATATTTCTTACTTTTGAAAGCATCGTTTTGTGCTTAAAAGACCACAATTTCTAACAGTAGCTGAGATCACATCTAGATGATCCAAGTCACAGAACACTATTACTTCTAGCGAAGTGATCCAAGTCACCTACGAACGGAGATATTATTCTTTTCGCTAGCAACACCAAGTTCGTGTTCGAGCGCATTTTGTTCTGCGACCGGCCGCCATAATCAAACAAAAAGATTGAAATGAAAAGTTAATTTAAATTTCATTGCTTATTGGTGAAAGTGATATAATAACTACTAAATGAGTTCTAAATCTGATGTAAATAGAAGAGTACTCGCCATACAGGCGAAGAAAAAAAGNGAGATATTATTCTTTTCGCTAGCAACACCAAGTTCGTGTTCGAGCGCATTTTGTTCTGCGACCGGCCGCCATAATCAAACAAAAAGATTGAAATGAAAAGTTAATTTAAATTTCATTGCTTATTGGTGAAAGTGATATAATAACTACTAAATGAGTTCTAAATCTGATGTAAATAGAAGAGTACTCGCCATACAGGCGAAGAAAAAAAGACACAAAGTTGGTAAAAAGAAAAATCGCGAGGAAGAACACGGGGCTATTGGCCAAGGAAACGGTCTGCGTAACCAGAACCAGAATCGTCTAGAACCAACGCATAGTTCTTCCAACGAAACAATTGAGGAAGACGAAGATGAGCAATACACCAGCGACGACGAGGAGCAGGAGGATAGTGCGGATTACTGCAAGGGTGGATATCATCCTGTCAAGATTGGAGATTTATTCCTGAATCGTTACCACGTCACTCGGAAGCTAGGCTGGGGTCATTTTTCTACCGTGTGGTTATGCTGGGACCTCGTCGACAAACGATTCGTTGCGTTAAAAGTAGTGAAATCTGCACCTCATTTTACGGAGACGGCTTTGGACGAAATTAAAATATTGAGAGCAGTGAGAGACAGCGATCCCACCGATCCTAAGAGAAACAAAACCGTACAACTACTTAATGACTTTAAAATAACTGGTGTAAATGGCACTCATGTGTGCATGGTGTTTGAGGTTCTAGGACACCACCTTTTGAAATTGATACTCAGATCTAATTACCGAGGGATTCCTCGAGAGAATGTTAAGACGATAATTCGTCAGGTTTTAGAAGGCTTGGATTACCTTCACACTAAATGTAAAATTATTCATACTGACATTAAACCTGAAAATGTCCTTATCTGTGTAGATGAGACATATATACGTAAACTTGCCGCCGAAGCGACAGAATTACATTCCTTGGGGCTAAGGTTGCCTCATTCCCTCATTAGTACTGCTCCAAAAGAATTTCAAGAACAAGTGGTTACAGGTAAAATGAGCAGAAACAAGAAGAAAAAGTTGAAAAAGAAAGCTAAGCGTCAATCAATGTTGTTAAAGAAACAAATGGAACAAATAGAAGAAATGGAAGAACAAAAAAAGGATCCACACAATAGTGAATCTGCTCCTATGTCTCAAGATAATGATGATTCACCTCAGACACCAGAGGAAGCAAGTGTCATTGATATAACACAGTCTGAAAATGATACAGCAGTAAATGGGTGTAATGATGTCCAAGCTAATGAAGAAGAAACATATAACATTGATGGTATACAATTGCGAAACAAACAGTATGGGTGTGGTGATGATGCTAGCACTCCAATGTCCGAAGGAGAGATGACTGATACACCTCCTTCATTTAATTCACTTTCTACAAATCGTAAATCTTTAGACAAAAAGCCTGATCCTACTTTTGAAGTCTGTGACATTGAAGTAAAGATTGCGGATCTAGGTAATGCATGTTGGGTACATCGTCACTTTACTGAAGACATACAGACTAGGCAGTATCGTTCCTTAGAAGTGCTCCTAAGTGCTGGGTATGGAACGTCAGCAGATATATGGAGCACAGCCTGTATGGCATTTGAATTAGCCACTGGAGATTATTTGTTTGAGCCTCACTCAGGTGATGGCTACAGTAGAGATGAGGATCACCTTGCTCATATTATTGAACTACTTGGAGATATTCCCAAAAGAATTGCAGCTTCAGGAAAATATTCCAAAGTATTTTTCAATAAAAAAGGTGAATTGCGAAATATAACAGGTTTAAAACCTTGGGGCTTAGTCTCTGTTCTGACAGAAAAATATGAATGGAGTGAAAATGATGCAGAAGAGTTTGCCGATTTTTTAAAACCTATGTTGGATTTTGATCCAAATCGGCGTGCCACTGCTTATGAGTGCCTTCAGCACCCATGGTTAAAATCGTCCAAACCAGAAAAGGAGTCTGAGGACTAACAAATGCTCTCTGAACCAGTCTTAACATTTTTTAAATTGGTAGTGTCTACATAAAGTAATGGGTCTTTCACTTTTATAAATCTTTATTTATAGATTTGTTTGTGAATAACTTAATTTTATCTACTTTATTTTGTAGTTATTCTGATTTTCACAGAATTTGTAATTGTGTGCGACTAATACTAATATTTATTTATCAGGCCTGCTAATAAATCAAGTAGCGAAGTATATAATACACCCGCTGCTCAAAATTGTAACATCATAATGATATTTGTATGATTTCGATGTAATTGTAGCAATTGGAATTTTATTAGAAATCTTAAATTGCCCAACTGTACAGAAGATAGCTTTAGGAAAAATTGTGATGTATGACATGTAGACAATATAGGTTTTGTCACATAATAATAATTAATCTACTAGGAATTTATTAGTTGACGTGATGACATTGTTCTGCACCTATGTAATAAAATAAGTGGCGAAACTTCTGTAACAAAGTCATGCATGCATTGTAGACATTCAAAAAGTAGTAGTATATTTGAATAGTTAAGTTGTGTTTTATCATTATCACAATAAAAATCTCATAATGTAAAGATTAGGATTAAGACAGTATTTGTCATACCACACCTCTGAGACTGCCTTTTATAATACAATGAGTCATAGAAATTGAGCAATGGAGTTACATTTGGAGGTGGTTTACAGCAGTGACCTTTGTCTGAGCCAGCTCATAGTTAAATTTATTATAGATCCCGATATACATTACCATGATTTGTATTATTATATCAGCAAATTTACATGAATAAAACGTGAAACTGACTCGAGTTTTTTAGTCCTATAGGTAATTATNGCCTTTTATAATACAATGAGTCATAGAAATTGAGCAATGGAGTTACATTTGGAGGTGGTTTACAGCAGTGACCTTTGTCTGAGCCAGCTCATAGTTAAATTTATTATAGATCCCGATATACATTACCATGATTTGTATTATTATATCAGCAAATTTACATGAATAAAACGTGAAACTGACTCGAGTTTTTTAGTCCTATCGGTAATTATTAAATCTACGTAAAAAATGCGACTCGTACGAACAAGAGGCGTGGCCGGAAATTGAAATGAAGTAAGTGGCAGATCTCTGCTCCCAGGACATTCATTGTTAAACTTGTATACGTATTGTACTTTTGTTATACGAGAAAATATGCGTCACGGTAACCTGAACATTAGTATCTACCTGATTGTGGTCTGTAACTAAATACTTAATACTGTGTACGGGGCGCACTCGTGCCGTCAATTACGTCGCATCATCCTCGATTAATGCATACATAAGACTCGTAACTTTTACGTTTTTTGAAAACTCGAATTATTTGGACCGATTGTAAAAATAATACAAAATGAATTTGTTAAAATGGAATTTCGCAAGAAATGAGTTCTCAACGGTCCACGTGTTGATGGACATGAAGTCCTAATGGTTTTGAACATTCTGTTATTTAAAATTGAATTAAAAAAAAGAAAAAATTCAATTAAAAAAATTGATATTTAGAATTCTTTATGCAGAAATTTTGATACAAATATTTGTTCTCATCGGTCCATGTGTTGATGGGCATTGAGTTCTTCTAATGTTTTTAAAATAAAGATAATGTAGGAATTTTGATACAAATAGGACATGTTTTGAAGTCGTGGCCTAAAGGATAAGATGTCCGATGCATTCGTATCGAGCGATGTAACGGTGTTCGAATCCCGCAGGCGGGTACCAATTTTTCTAATGAAGTAAGTACTTAACAAGTGCTCACGATTGACTTCCACGGTGAAGGAATAACATCGTGTAATACAAATCAAACCCGCAAAATTATAACTTGCGTAATTACTGGCGGTAGGACCTCTTGTGAGTCCGCACGGGTAGGTACCACCACCCCGTCTATTTCTGCCGTGAAGCACTAATGCGTTTCGGCTTGAAGGGTGGGGTAGCCGTTGTAACTATACTGAGACCTTAGAACTTATATCTCAAGGTGGGTGGCGCATTTATGTTGTAGATGTCTATGGGCTCCAGTAACCACTTTAGACCAGGTGGGCTGTGAGCTCGTCTACCTATCTAAGAAAAAAAAAGTTAAAAATCTGTATCCCAAATGTACTTATTAGGTGTTTTTCGCTCTAGTTCTTACTTGTTAAGGACATACATAATATATTTCTTATTACAACTAGTGGTCGCTCAGTGAATGTAGTAAGTACTCGCTCAGTAATTTGACCATAATTACTCGACACCTTTCGATTCATTAGAATAAATCGGAAAACAGTATGTACTTTTTGTCTAGCAAAAAATGTAACTGATTATAATGAGTTACATTTCTGCTTGACAAAAAGTACTATTGCAAATTTTGTAACTAATATTTTACTAAACAAACAAATGGTCAACAAACAAAGCAGAAAACTGTACTTATGTAAATTATTCATCTATAAATGTATCTTTGTTATTGCATTTGCGAAAATAATTCGATAAGTGCCATCTATTTTAACGCCGTGGAACTAATACTATTCAAAATATTTTCTAAAGCTACTTGCAGATGGCAGCACATGGTGCTTGGAACAGTAATATCTTTAGCTAAATATTACTTAGTAATTCATAAAATAAATAATGTAGTACGTACTATATGCAGCAGACTATTTTGTTTAAAATCAGCGAATGTTCATAGTAATGAATTATCCGACTATAAATCAGACAACTTGAATTCTCTCAAGTTAATGATCTCGTCAATCTCAAGTTAATAATTTTGCACACTAGTTGCTAAGAATTATAGCCAAACAACAATTTTATTTATTTCTGTGGTGGGTTTAGAAGACTCATTGAACCAATGCAATCCAATCTAATCGAATGTTTCAAGGTGGGAAGCGGCGTCAGTGTCTGGTGAGCCTTGTGCTTATAGCAGTAACATTAATTTTTTTTATTTATTTGTCTTTGGATTGTTTGTTTTTGGATTTAGATGTCAGCCCGGCATCAAGAATGGAGAATAGACAAAAGGAAAGTCACGCGTTCTAGCCCGTGTGAATCCCAAACGTTTGCGTGGTATTTACGTCTCTACATTAACGCTATAAGAATGTGACATTGTGTAGGGGAGAACGGACGTATTTGCCGTTTAGCTAACATACATAAATATGAAAAAAAGAATCTGTTTTAACATATATACTTAGATCATTACAGACATAAGATAGTAAGTAGATCTCAGTTCATTCGATGTTAAACATCGATGATAACGCTGAGGGATCAACTACCCATAACGTGAACACCGTTGGAGATCCGTTAACAGTTGTAGAGCTATCCCACTTATAGACTGGAATGAGTAATTTCTTTGTGTCCGAAATAAGCAAGATCTAAGCGACAAAAGATCGATTCGTAGAAGAAATATTTCAGGATCATTTTAAATATCTCGGCCTGCATTGCTTAACATTCATCAGTATCACAATTATTTCTCTTACCAAGCTCTATAATCTAAGTCTTAAATTTATATATAGGTAATCTTAAAAATCGAACAAACTGCTAGACCTCAAGATCTTTTAGTATGAAACAAATATCTAAATAACAACAAATACTTCTACAGCACCTCTTGTGAGTCCGCACGGGTAGGTACCAGCACTCCGCCTATTTCTGCGGTGAAGCAGTAATGCGTTTCGGTTTGAAGGGTGGGGCAGCCGTTGTAACTATACTGAGATCTTACAACTTATATCTTAAGATGGGTAGCGCATTTACGTTGTAGATGTCTATGGGCTCCAGTAACCACTTAATACCACGTGGGCTGTGAGTTCGTCCACCCATCTAAGGAAAAAAAAAAGACGGTTAGGGCGTCTTGTCGGTGAGGCCGCGCGGCGCGCTACCAGCACTCTAGCGCGCTGCCGTGGATTGAATAGAGCGACCGGTCGACGGTGTATCGCGTCCCGACCCGGCAGGCTGGTTCTGGTCCAGCGGGGTATTCCGGGACACCAGCGGCACCGTCTGGGCGGCCCGACGGGCTGCCGTACCGAGACGGCCGACGTTTCAGAGCCTTCGATTCGCCTCGAAGGCTCCGTCGGCTGGGCGTCCTTGGGGTGAGCCGCGCTGTCTGGTTGTAGTGTTGACCGCGGTAGCCCCCCTACCTCATCCGGGTTCTGACCTCGGAGGGGATCGGACGTCGGGTGTAAGAGTGCAGGGGAGTCGTTTAGTGGGTGGGTCCTAAAATCCTTGGGCCCGCGGTCTGCTCACAACACCATGCAGACCGTTGAGTCTCACATACCCCGCGCGCCCCTTTTGCGCGGGGACCTCGTAGGAGGTTCGGNGGAAAAAAAAAGACGGTTAGGGCGTCTTGTCGGCCACAAGTACCACTACCCTTCTTGTCGCGAAACAGTAATGCGGGTCGGTTTGAATGGTGGGGCAGCAATTAAAACAATTAAGACTTAGACTTTATGTCTCAGGGTGACTATCCACACACACTGTGATGCCTATAGGTGTAGGTAATCATTAGGTGAGCGGTGACCTCGATCCCGCGTCTTTATAATAAGAAAACAGCAACAAAAACGAGTACCTATATGACCAACTTTTACGGTAGGAGTCACCACCGCCAGTTGACACCACGTGAAAAACCGTCACCCATCTCCAGATATGAGAGAAAAGTTTCAATAGGATTGTCGACTATCAAAGTGGGACGTAGTATGTCATTAATATGTAGGATGTGCGATATCGCATTATGCACCACCAGTATTTACTGGGACGGATTTCGTTAATTATCTATATGCTTCGGCATTTAAAAAAAAAGTATGTATACATATTTTAAAACGTTTTGCATGTTTTATGCAGTTGCAACGAACGACGTTTGCCAGAGGTCAGTGTGATTTGGCGTTGTTGTGATGCTAAAGACGCGACGCATGCGCGGATGGCGACCTTCTCGCGTCCTCATCGGCAGTTTGCCGCTCACGCCGTGCCGTCACACATGTAAACAGACGGGGAAATCACAAATACGATACACTTTCGCCTCCAATATCTTATCGGGCCTACGACGGACATTTTTTTTTGTAAAGTGTTGTGATGTGCTCTACTTACATCTAGTGTTATTTCAGTACTGGCACGGCGTAGCATAAGGTTTGTATTTTTTTTTAAATAATCTTTAATTTCATCTTGTGAGTAATTATATTTTCTTGTTACAGTTATACAGACCTCTGAAAGACGATAAAACGTCTCAAAATCTAAATAATGCAATTGTACTTGTATGTTGTGTAATATGTCGGAGGTCATGACCTTGAACTTTTCGTAGGGTCAACGTCCGTGACTGATCAGATGTAAACAAAAATGTAAACATTGAGTAAACTGCTTACTAAGGGAGGTTTTTGGAAAGTTTTTACTCGTAGAAAATTTGTGATAGTATTTTATTATATTCACTATATTCCATACATTTTTGATGTCGACGCGTAGAAGGTAATACGGTCCATTAGAGCCCACCAATTATTAAGAAATGTCGTTCTATCAATCACCCTGCAACAATTATATTTCGTAGCAGAAATAGGCTGAAATAGGCTTTTAATTACACGAATTTAACATAGAATTATAGGAAATAATAAAAATCTAAAGTACATTACGCGACAGGGATATCGGCCAAATTCAAATTTGGTAGGTGCTCATCACGATATTCGCATGAGAGCATACATTTTATTCTTGTCTACTAGGATACGAAATCTTATTTAACTTAAGATCCTCCTCCTCCTTGCGTCGTATTCCTCATTGCTGAGAGTCGTGACCACTCTTTTGTATCACCTTCGCACGCACGATCTTTCTCCATCTATTCTTGTCTCTGGCGGTGTGG